CCCCAAAACCCCAAAACCCCAAAACCCCTTAGAGAGGATAAATTTTATAGTTGTCTAAATTTTTAATAGTATTTAATATCCTATTCAACCTACTACTCTTTTCTTACCAATAGCAGAAAGAGAAATACCAAAAGCGATGACTTGACTGAATGGGGCTCTATAATCTAGGTTAAACTCATTCGTAGAACTTTTTCCATGACTTAGAATAATTTCATCTTCATCTCCATCCGTCTCAACCAATTAGAAATTTCTAGCAGAGGCTTTATTAACTCTTCCATAGAAATTTAAAGTATAGCATCCTCTATCTTGATTGAACTTTGGAGGTAAGTTTTCGAAAGTCTTGGATATATTTTGGTCGTTTCCTTTCTCAAAGTCTGTTATTCCTATCCTAAAAGATCTTGGCTTCTCAGCAAAGAAGTTAGAGTCGTATTCTATCTAGCAAACTCTTTTCTTAATGGGCAAAAAATCTTTTGGTAACTCCTTAGTTCTATAAATATTAAGCTGTACAAGTGTACATGAAGGCCTTATCAAAGCCGTAGTCGTAAACTTCAAATTTAGTTCCAAGGAAATTAGGTACAACTATTCCCATGTAATTTCTTCCATACTAAGTGTAATCATTCTATTAAGAGATTAAATAAATCATAATAATACTTGAGACAATGAGATGTAGAATTCTGAGTTTTCTGAAATTCTTTGAGCGAAAAGCTTTACATCCATTTTCCCCTCTAATCTCAATCTGTATCTGTGTGGGTAGTCTGAAAATAATCCCTATTCTCCTTTAGTCCTCTCAACTCTTGAGAGATTATGCATGTTATTAACAGCCAAATGCTCATTCTTAAAGTCTGCTTCTGAAATAGCTGTAGGAACAAATACACCTAATTCAATCTACATCAGTAATTTACTCGATTAAAGTTATACCTTTTTTTAAGATGGTTCATGAACCAAGAAACCTTTTGAAATAGCATAGTCATTGATGTTTACAGCTTAAAGCATTTACTTAGTCTTTTCATTTTAAAAGGATTCAGATATGTCAATGCCTATTTTCTTGAGATGAATGTATACTATGATCCAATAACTTTCTTTCAGAGGCTCTTTGTTATCTGGATCCTATGAGGACAATTTCAAGAACTCAAATACATTTTACTTATCAAAATTTTAACTCAAATAGCTCATTAAAGTCGCTTTGAGTTCAGTCAACTGTATAAATTTAAAAGTAGATTGCTTACTTGAAAAATATCACAAAGTTGAATGAAATCAAGTTAGTTTCTTTTGTTAAACTCGAATTTAGTTCTTCTTCCATCAATATGCTCTAATACCTATTGCACATACTCTTCATAGTTACTACCTTGAATAGTTTGATTTTACTTGAGCTGGATAACTATCTTCTTTGAGTAATTCCCATATGCTTCATCTTTGCTCTCTTCAAGCTAATCTGCTGGAGACAGTTCTTTGTAGAGGTAACACTTAGTTGAATCAATATTAAGTTTGTTATAAACTTCTTTTGTCAGATTGAATGATATTTTCCTTTATACCTATTCCATAGTATATTCCTTTGTAACCTCCACATTTTCTGCAGTTTTGATGTAAATGTGTAGATGATAACTAACAGCCTACCTCACTTGATAGCTGTTGTAATTGTTTTGGAGTCTTGTAATTAATCTATTTGACATTTTTGAAATTTAATTATTCAAAGATATGAATACTATACCTTTAAATTTGTTATTTAATCAAACTAGTCATGATTTTATTGTATTTTTCGTTTGTTGGGGTTTTGGGGTTTTGGGG